TGGTGATGGTCACCCAACTTTGTAAACACTGAAGACCACTGAGCTGTAGATGGACTTAGTAGTATGTAACTTACTGCAATAAAGTTGTTTCTAAAAACCTTGAGGCTATTGAGGATGGTGGGAGTGGGCCAATCGGGCACACTGTTATCACCCCTGTAATCCCTAATTTACTGACTCTAGACCTTAACAGACCCAGGAGGGGTCCTTGGCAGAGGCAATACAGGGCACTGGGTAAGCTCTTAGGATCATTGTTCCCTGGTTGCCACAGCTTGGGTGGGAATGATGGCGACCACCATTTGGTGGGCCCCTGTCCATACCCCAAGTCTCTTCTCTATGGTGGGGTATCCCAGCAGCCGGGTTTGGGTCTGTTGGCCATTGCTGATTGGCCTGGAGGTAGACACATGACCTCAGCTGGCCAATCAGCTGCAGCATCCCGGGAGTGAGGCTTAGAGTCGGGGTGAGAACTCGGGCACTGTGCTCAGGACACGGTGTCCCTGACTATGCCCACAGACATCTTTGCTCTGGCACCTCTAGGTTCCTGCTGTTCAGGAAAGGTTTATAATTTGGGGGGAGGGAGAGGAGCACGGAAGGAAGAGAGAGAGAAACACTGATTTCTCTATTTATTGACACATTCATTTATTCATTTGTTTACTCTTGGGTGTGCCCTGACTAGGGATCAAACCTGCCCCCTTGGCATATCAGGACGACCCTCTAACCAAAGCCCCTGCCTCCGATGAGCTGTATCGAGGGCCTGTTGTATTCAAGTTCCTGTGAGTGTTTGTGTGCGTACAAGTGACAAAAAGGCCCAGCCACTGGGAGGCTGCTCCAGGTGTGGGCAAGGACCATGGATGGCACAGCACTTAACCTCTGGGGAGGCTGCACACGGGCTGAGCTCAGGACTCAGCTGGAGGTTATTTTACAAAAGAGAATCCGGATGTGCAGCCTGTTTTCTGTCACCTGCCCCTGAGCGGCTGGCACAGAGGGCAGAGCTTTTAGAGGCAGACACATCAGAGTTTGACCCCAGCCATCCTTTTACGAGTTCTGCGTTTACTTCGGGAAATTGCCAGTTCCCACACCTATAAAATGGGAGCTAACCTCCGTACAGGACTGTGGGGAGGATTAGAAGTAAAGGTGCAGAGCATTTTGCAGCGTCCTGCACAGAGCAACTATTTAGTAACTGGTAGTTATAGCTACTTGTTTCTGAAAGAGTAAATTCATGTGAAATTCGAGTTGACACCCAGTTAAGTTGCACCAACAACTTTATTTACAAGTGCATTAAATTTAGGGGGACAGTTTCTAGCTTTTACTCCCAAATATTAAATAAGCTAGGAAGCCTCCAAACAGGGCTGGCCTTCCTTGCCTTCCAAGCTGGCTCTGGGTGAGTCCCAGGTTCTTGGGGGGGGCCCTGGTTTGCCCCTCTGCTGATGAATAGGACCCTTACCCCTCCCCACTTCCCCTCAACTCTGCAGAAATACACTCCAAGACACACGTTTGACAAGTGCTTGGACAGCTCAGCAGTTTCCAGGAGGGAGAAACACAAAGCGGGCTGGGGACTCACTGAAGGGCCCAGCAGCACCAGGCATGGAATGGTAGGTGGAACGAAACCTTTCTCCAGCTCTTTCCAAGTCCAGTCCATAGGCCACATCTGCCCCTCTGTGCTGCCTCCACCATCCCGAGTGGATGTTCTCCAAGAGCTGCCAACCTGCAGCGAATGGCAGAGGCCTGGCGGGCATGCGTTGGCGGGTGGCCTTGACCGGAGTCTGAGCGCTGCTGTGCTGAGGCCACGTCCGGCTTGAGCTGCGGACCTGGGCGGCCCACAGCCCATTGAGATGCAGGAGAGAAACACAGCCTCTGCTCCAGTTAAGCAGGCCCCAGTGTCCTGCCGGAGGGGTTTTGGTGCTGACGCCACAGGGATGCACAGCAGGCCTGGTACAACTCTGCCACCGGGCCCACGCTGAGGCTTCAAGGGAAGGTGAATGCAGGTGGGGCAGGCCCGCTTCCACATGAGCAGTGGCTGGACCTGAGCCCGCCCGGGACTGCGCGGAGCGCGGCACGCTGCAGCCTGAGCTCTGGCAGGCGAGCGGCGTCTCCCCTTCCCTGCCCTTCTGGTTGGCTTGGCTTCGGCTCATGTGAATTCAGGTAACTCCCGTGGTCACCAGCATCGCCAACAGACCTTCTCAGGTGTACGACTTAAGAGCAAAAACCTCCTAGCCCAGTCTCTCGGTTTCTGCGAACACCAGGTTCTTGTCCGCAGCCTGAATGATATGCTACTTAATGCAGAAGACCCTCAAGGAGATAATGAGGTACTAGAACTTGCTCTGCTCTAGTACTTGGTTCAGGTGGCATCTTACCATCCTGGGCTGCAGCGATCTGTTCACAGGAACGTCTCCTCTCAGTGTGCTTCTCAAGGCAACTGCCATGCTCCATTCACCCGGCACATGGCAGGCGTTCATGAAAAACAAAATAGGCCCACGAGCCAGATCTGCTCTACAGGTGGCTTTTACTTTGCTTGCAGAATAGGGAAAGGATTTTTTATTTGTTGATGAAAGCAGGTGATTCATAACAAATCTGGATTCCTCGGATTCTCTGGAGAATTTTAAAAAATTTATTTTTAGAGAGAGGGGAAGGGAGGAATAAAGGGAGAGAAACAGCGATGTGAGAGAAACATCAATTGGCTGCGTCTCCTCCACACCCCAAGCAGGGCCTGAGCAGCAACCCAGGCGTGTGCCCTGACCGGGAACAGAATCCGAGACCTTTCCCTTTGCGCGATGACTCCCAACCCAGGCACACCAGTCAGGGCTTCTCTGGAGAATTCTGAAGACGGGGCTCCAAGCTCCGTATTCCTCCCACTCGGTGGCAGCCAGCGAGCACCCGGGAGAGGCTGTCTTCTTTAGACAGACGCTCTCCACTCTGCCCCGTCTCCATCGTTCCCTCCCCTCTCACACCGGAATCACTTCCACCTCCCTCAGCCTTTTTTACCTACCTGGTCCCTGGGGGCAGCTGAGTTAGCAGCTCCTGTTGGTGACCTGAGCGGTGATGGAAGCGAAGGTCTCCATCAGGCCCACCACAGGGTTTTCAATACGTGCTTGTTGATAAGGTCTCTGGGTCTTGCCAGGCCAACAAAACGTTTGCATGCACAGGAAGGCACCTCTGGGGAGAAGCCGTCCCCACAAGGAGGTACTCTGGATAACCCAGCTGTTCCGTGGGCCACGTGTGGCCAATGGCAGTGACGTTTGGTTGATTTGGCTATAATCGATCCTCATTCTCTGGTCCTTGCTCTTGGTGAAAATAGGCAATGATGTGCCATTTGAGCAAGAAGGCGGGGAGATGGCATTGGGTTTACTGAGCCACTGTCATCAAAGAGAACACCTCTGGCCTTCCTCATTTAAACATTCCAATCATCATCAGCTGAACAGTGACCCAAACATCCAAAACAATGATAAGAAAGAAAGGGGTGGGGGAGGCGACAAGGGGGCATCATTCTGGGCTGCGGCACAGAGCGGCACCAGCTTGGGAGTGCAAAACCATGGCGTGGGTTTGCTAAGAACGGTTTGCAGCTGGAGAGATGGCAGTTGCCATGTCAAAGCAGTGAGCTGTGAGGGAACCCCAGGAGCGAGGACTTAAGGAAACAATTACTGCTTGCAGCCCCTGCTTCACAGGTGACCCACTGCAACACTGAACGCCTATGCGGGGAGAGCCCAGCTGCACAGGCTCCCTCACCCGTCCCGACTTTTAATGTGGAACACGATGAACCTCTAGAAAAAGAACTCCACTTTTAACTCTTCACACTAGGCCCCCCTCCCAGGGCAGCATTTTACGGAACCAATTTACTGGAGCTGCTCTGGTGAAAGTAAGCGGGCGGGCGGGCGGAGGCCCTGCCCCTGCCCGGCTCCCCTCTCAGGGCTTCCCCAGGCCAGGGAGCGCAGCCCTCAGACCGCGGAGCGGGAGTGCAAGCGCCTTGGCAGAGCACAACAAGCCGCCCCGAAAGAGAGTTCCTAGAGACTACGTGCTCCTACAGAGATGAACAGTTCCACTTCCTGTTGCCACATTTTTAACTATTTATTGAATGAGGCAATAAGAGACAGAATGGAAAACAACACAGAATCCATGCTCTGCTACTTGGGTTTTGCTTTTCTTCTTCTTCTTGGCAATTTCTCAAACTATTAGGAGGTTATTTCACCACAAAGGAACACGGACTTTAAAGTCCCTGGACAGCTTCACAATGACGATAAAAAATAATAATTAAAAAAATAACAAATTGTAGAACTAGGACTGTTTATATGTAAATTTCCCTTCCCTCCCCCCCCATTACGTACAGAAAAAAAAACATACAAAGAACATTGGATAATTTTATATAAAACAAGCAAATACAAGAATCTGAAACTTTTCTCAAAGGCTGAGCAAGACATGAATAATCTTTTAATGTTGCATTAAAAAAACATTAAATACACTATCACACTTGGGGGGCCCGGGAGGAGGGAGGAAGAGTTGTCCCTGTACTCAAGGAGCAGAGATTTGGCCTGTCGAAAAGTCAGGTGGATTCAGCCACTGGAGACTCAGAGCTGGAAGCTGAGAAATCACAGCCTTCAAGAGTTACAAAGCATGCGCGGACCACCCGGCGCCCGCGAGAGCAAGCTGCGCGGGGCCTGGGCCCCCAGGATGCACCTGGGAGAGCTGCGCGGTCCCTTCCGAAAGGGCCTGATCCAGGGCTCAGGAAACACCCTCAGTTCTTTCCTCTTCTTGTGCCGCACCCCCCTCCCCCATGGGGCCCCGTCCCGTCCCCAGGGTGACGGCCGACCTTCCTGAGCCAGGTGCCCTGTCAGTTCCAGTCTCCTCTCTGTAAAGCTACAGAAAGTTACAGGAAGGAGAAAATTGCTCCCATTGGTGTGCCCTGGTCTTTGAAGGTTTTTTCTCCCTCCTTCCTTTCCCCTTCCAGCCCCTCCCGCTCCCCCTCCCATTCTCTCCCCGCTCCACACACCCACAGGCACACGCAGCGCGCACACACTCCTCAAACCCTTAATACTTCTGTTACTCTCAGTTCATATATACGACCAATTTAGGACTGACCTTAAAACCAAAGCAATATTTTAACAGTCACGAGATCAAGGAGGTTTCCTGGGAAGGGGAGGAGAAGGGAGGCTGAGAACACTCCCCATCCCCGCCTGGGAGCCGTAAGGACACCCACCTGCCTGCGGCAAGGTCGGCACCGGGGCCAGCCCGAGGAGCGTCTCGGCCGCCAAGCCACGAGGCCCCTGGACCTTACAAGCACAGTTCTGGACCCCGCCCGTTCTGGAACTTCCTTCCTCAGGCGAGTCCAGCAGGGAGAGTTCTGGGTAGCCACTGGGAGGCAGCTTTGGTGAAGGCCATGGTCACCTCCACCTGAGTTTGTCAGTAGCTCAACGCATGACCCTGGTATGAACAAAAATCAGGTGACTGTGTCTGGCCACGTACCCTACACCCAATAAACTGGGTGAATTATTTTTTTTCCCACAGCGCACCTTAATTTCATACAGATAATTCCATGCGGGTTTCATATATATATATATATATATATATATATGTACATATATATATACTTTATATATATGTAAATGTGTAAATCCGTATGTACACATATACATATATTCACACTCACACATACACACATTAAGTATACACATATTTTCGCAGAAAGAAGTCCTGCCACAATTTGGCTTTTTCGGGACAGTGAAATTGACCACGCAGTATCTTCCTTCACCAATCCCAGGAAATCAAGAGTGGTGCTTTAAAAAATGCAATTCCAAAATCCTCTTTCTTCCTTTTTAAAAAAAGGGTTAACAATACTTTCTTCCAAAGTCGAGAGACTTAATTCCATTTGATTGCACCTCTGCAAATGTGTAAAAATTTCTGAAGTAGACTAGAAAACAAGGCCGTGGTGTGGCTGCATGTCACTGTTCCAACGTCACCACCTCCACAGCCTGGCCGTCCATGGTGACTGTGCTGTCTGATATCCTGGTGGTCACAGGGGCCATGGCCACCTGCACCGGCCCGTTGCCTTGGGCGAGGCTGGTTACCACAGTCTGGTACATGCTCACGGGGATCTGGACCAGCCCTGGGGAGACAAAGGGGAGACCGTTGGTGGGGGTCGGGCTCAGCCTCCAGATGCTGGCTGGGCCGGGCAGCCGGCTCCCGTCCTCGGGGGCCTCTGCAGCCTCAGGCATCCGCACGCCCACTGCCCAGGCACAAAGCCATCCCCCTTTCCACCCCATTTTAATTCTTTAAAACAGAGCACCGGGGAAGGCCAGTTAGGAGGAACAGGCCTCAGAGTGGGGCCTCCCAAGCCTCCCAAGAGAGGGCCCTGCCTGCCCCCCAACTTTATGAAGCAGAGCCCCTCGGGTGTGAATCCTGCCCTCCCGCAAGCCCGCACTCTGGCCACTCTTCCTCCTTTAGGAAAGGCCACCACCCGCTGTCCTTGGGATTCTGCTACACTGCCTTCTTCAGCCTCTTTCTGCCTATGTTCCAGCTTCTCTCAGCTTGAAAAGATACTTCCCCCAACCCGGTCCTGTCTTCTGGCCCCTGTCACTCCACTCAGAGTTAGCTTGTTTAAAAAGAAAAGAAATAAGGCCTAGGTTATTAAGTTTTCTGACTTTAGATTTCACAAACCAGTAAAATTTTAAAGTACATTTTGGGGTCAACTTAGAAAAGAAAAAGACTCTCAACTACCTCCTGTATCACTATTGCTTCACAGCAGAAAGGATGGTTTAACACAGACAGGAAGAAGCATGTGACCTGAGAAGGGCAGTCCTTCCTAAAGAGGGAAAGTTCACAATTTTATGACATTAAAGAAAGGATTCCTATGAGACAAGACAGAATAAATATATGCATCAAACTCCTCTTCCTCCGAAATAAATTATAGTGAAGGGGGACAAAAGCACACATATGTGGATGTCAACATATGTTTGGAAGACACAAAGCGAACGTCAGAGCTCCTGATTTATCGGAGAAGCGAAGCGGCCACCCCGGAGGGTGCAGGGACTGGGCGCCTCGCTTCTGCAGAGAGAGGGGAAGAGGCGAAAACAGGACTAAGCCAAAGATTTGTAGTCAACCAACTAGACCAGTAGGCCACACCAAGCCCACACGCAGGCTGTTGTTGACAGGACACCTAAAGTCCACCCACTGTATTGAGAAAATGACCAGGAGAGGCCCAAGAAAAGACCTATAGTGATATCTGGCAGGTGGGTGGGTGGTGGGGGCGGGGAGAAGAGGCAATGAAAAATCTGGCCTGCCAACCTAATCCTTACCCTGAGGACCACCGGTCAACCTAGCTTGGGCCTGAACATCCTGACAGCTGGTATTTCAGTGTCTCATTTTTAAGGAGCACAGAGGTAGCAGACAAAACGTGAGCAGCAGAAGAAAACAAAAACAAATGCCCCCAAATTCTAATGCCTTCAAAGAGAGAAGAGATTTATAGCATAAAAATGAGATGCTTGCCTTGACTGGTGTGGCTCAATGGGTTGGGTGTCGCCTTGCAAACCTAAGGGTCACAGGTTCGATTCCCAGTCAGAGCACATGCCTGGGTTGAGGGCCAGGTCCCCTGATGGAGGGTGCAAGAGGCAACCAACAGGTGTTTCTCTCCCCTCTCTTCCTCCCTCCCTTCCCCTCTCTCTAAAAATAATAATAAAAAAAAGATGCTTTTGTTTAAAAGGAATATGAGAAAATTTTTAAGTAAAAAAATCAAATAGATGAAATACATTCTGAAAAAACATATAAAGTCAAGGAAATCTTCCAAAGAGTAGAAAGACTAAAAGATGGAAAGTGGGAGAGAAAATATGAGACTTAAGAAGGTCCAACCTCTGATAGTAGAGTTCTAGAGACCAGAAAAAACAGAAGGTAGGAAATTATCAGACATATTTTAAGTAAATATCTATAATTAAAAAACATCTTTCAGACTGAAAAGGGCCATTAGATACTCAGCACAACAAATACAAAGATTCCAAAGGACTGCAGAAAGAAAAAAAAGAGTCATATTCAAAGACCTGGGAACCATAACATTGTGAGACTTCTCAAAAGCGAGCTCTGAGGCTAGAAGGTGAAGAAGAATGCCTTCAAATGTCGGAGGGGAAAGCGCTCTTAGTCCAGAGTTCCACATCCCGTTCGTGAACCATGGTATCCATGTCAATTAAGTGTGGGGCAGAAGAAAAACATCTTCAGGCAGGCGGGGGCTCTAAAAATTGACATGTGCTCTGAAGGGTACACAAAAAGCTAAGAGGAGCCCACGGGCTCTAGGAAACAGAGAATCCCTTGTAGCGAGCCCTGGGCAGGATGAGGGGCTCAGAACAAGGGCTGTGCGACAAATCTGAGAGGAGAATAGAAGGGGAAGTGGTGTGACCACAGGAGATAAAGTACCGAGAGGGGTTTTCTACCCAGAATTGAGTGGAACAGGCGATTGCTACTTAAAAAGTAGGAGAAAAAAGTATTAACCATAGTAATTATAATATACTCACCTTGCAGTGAACAATTTTTATGTGATTATAATAATACAGAGAAACTGAGTTAACAGAAAATTGTGATACTGTCTCAAGCCAAGAAAGGACGATGTAAGACTACTATGCAAAACAGTAAGGATACATACCAGAAACAAAGAGCATGAAATGTGGCCACTGGGTGCAGTCTTTTTTTTAAAAAGGCCTTTTAGTTCTTTCTGATATTTAAAACCATGTATCACTTTAATGAGGTCAAAAATTAGTTTTAAAAAGGGATATTTTCTCAGAATATTTTCTAATGCAAAAATATCAAGCATAAAATAAAATATTATATACAATGTTAAATTGGGTCTCATTTGTTTCCTAGGGGCGCTGCCAGTCTAGGAATAAGTATTTGATGATGCAACATGACATGGGGCTTGATGTTTGGTTTTGACCAGTCATTTTTGGAAATCCAGGCGCACCGTGCTGCACGTTAACAGGAGTGGAAGGCACGGCCTACCATCCCTCACACTTGAGATGCTGGGGCCTAAAAAGAGGGGGAGAGGAGGCCAGTGCACGTGCACACGAGAGTGGGAAGAAAGCAGGCCAAGGGCCAGGCAGCGGTTTCCAACCGGTGCGCCACGGCACGCTGCCGTGCCTCCAGGGTTTTAAAACACGGGATACCTGGCTAGTCACGGGCACGACCTCCTTCCCCTTAGACTGTCAAATAAAAAAAGGACAACAGCCAACACAGCAAGAACCATCTGGTGGGAATGAATCAAAATCATACCTATGTTTTTGGTCAGACTGGCAAAAAACATAATGTATTTTTTGGTGTGCTGCAGATTATCAGTAATTAGCTTATGCGTGTGCCATGAGACTAAAAAGGGTGAAAACTGCTGCTCCAGGGCGCTGTGGGGTTCACCTTCTTTCACGGAGGTCTTTGCAAATGGCGCTTACATGTCTCTAAATCAATTCCTCTTTCAGTTTACCCCACTTGCCACCCAAATTATCCTTCTATAACATGCCACACCCCAACCTCAAACTTTTCAAATTCCATGATGTTAAAAAGGGTCCCAGTGCCTATAAGTAAAGTTCAAACGTTTGGCATGGTATGCAAGACCCTTCATGGTTTGCCCCGGTCTATCTTTCCAGTCTCATTCCTCTAACTCTTGACAGGGACCTGTGCTCTGGAACTACCTCAACTACGTAGTTCCCCAACATTTGGACACACTGTTTTCTCTGGGCCTTTGCTCAAGCTGTTCACTTCCTGGATTTCCTTCACTCCCTACTCCTTTGCCTTTAAAACCTGGTTCAGCTGACCCTCCTCTTGGAAGCCTGCTCTATCCCAGTGCCCGCCAAGAACTAAATGGCGTCCTCTGGGTGGGACAGTAGTACATAATCTGGCTTGGCCCAGGTAATGCAGGGAGATGGGCCTCCCCACTTCACTGAGGACGCCTTCAAGGCCAGGCCTGGCTCTGGTTCGCATTCTGTGCCCCACAGTATGAGAGGTACGACATGTGCTGTATGTTGGCGTCGAGGCAGCCTCGATGGCAACAGGCCAGGGAATCGTGCACATGCCGGTGTGCAGCCGGGCCCTGCTCCCCAGCCTCTAGTCTCCAGGCATGCGCCTGAGCATGTGTGAAGACATCTCCTCCGATCACCCCAGCGAACCATGATCGCCACTGCTTTTGTCTGCTCTTCTGGTCAAAACAGGCAAAGTTCATGAACTAACCTAAAACACGCAGTAGCAAAGCCAGTGTGCAATCCTCCAAAGAACCCATACTGGCAAGCAGCAACTAAAAGCAGGAGCAAAGGATTGGTCTCCTTTCACTGCTCCTGCTTCTGGGCTTGATTCAGTTCCAAGAGCTCCAAACATGGGGAACAAATCACACACTTTACATATACAGTAACTACTGTGAGCAGGGAGATTCTTCCTAACTGCGAGGGACCATCCCGGCTTAGGCTGGGGTGGAGAGAAACTGAAAGAATTGTCAAAGTTAAATCTCTTTCACCCTGGTTTATGATATATTTGGTTTGTCCCTGTCTAACACCACTAAAACAGGTTTTAGTATGCCCTTGCTGGTGTGGCTCAGTGGACTGAGTGCCGGCCTGCAAACCAAAAGGCTGCCAGTTCAATTCCCAGTCAGGGCACATGCCTGCATGGCAGGCCAGGTCCGCAGTTGGGGGCATGTGAGAGGCAATCAATTCATGTATCTCTCAGACACTGATGGTTTTTCCCTTCTCTTCCCCTCTCTCTAAAAATAAATATGATCTTAAAAAAATAAACAGGTTTTAGTATCATGGAAGATCTAACCTAGAACAAAATGGAGAAGGTGACACCGCCACACCTAGATGACCTTGGGAACACACACTGGTCTGGTTGCCCTCTCTTACAATTCTTCAGTGGCTTTCAGTGGCCCACGAGATAAAAAGCCCAAACCCCTCCGCAGGTATTTTCACCCCTCACGCCAGCCCCTGTTGTTCAGTCAGCCTGGTGATCCACGAGTCCCCACCCACTGTACATTCCAGCCAGGTGAACTATTTGCTATTTGATCAAGGGTCTCAACACACACACACACACACACACACCCCTCCCCCGATGTGCACACATTGCTATTTCTGCCTGGGAAGACGACTGCCCTCA